TATATTTCTGAAAAGAACATAATAACACTAAAACTAATAATTCTACAAACAATATCAGTATGTCTCACTACAAACTACATTATTAAAAGTATAATGAAATATTTAAAATTAACATTGTTTAATTTGAAGTCAAAATCTGTTTAATACACGCGTTACACTTAATATTAAAAAAAATATAAACAACTCGAATGTATTTAAATTGGGTACCTTAAATGAGCAGCTGTAGTTTAAGGCAACCAAAATAACGCAAAACCTTCCGAGTATATAATATCATATCATATTATAAGGCATACATTTTTGTTTTAAGTTTTTCGAAAATACATTACATATCCTTAATAAAAATCCTTAATAGTAGTTTTTTGAGTTATGAGCTATAAAAAATGTATCAATATTTCTATTTTGACGTATATTTACAATTTTTGATGTCGTTAACTCGTCAACAGTATAAAAATAATTACTACTTAAACCATATACATTTATTTATATTCATGTAAAAAGTTACAGTATAGAACATAGATATTGTATTATTAGGTATTATATTTAATATTAATTACAGACATTTTTTATATGTTAAATCTTACTTAAGTATTTTTAACACAATTATACAATACAATGTATAGAACGATAAATATTGGATACCTATCAATCCATTTTCGAGTGAAATAAAACGTGTTTTGTATACCTTCTATACATAATACCTCAGTTTTCATATTGAAACATTTTTTCTGTAAATAATTTCCTTTTTATCAATATAATATTTAATAAAATTAACATTTTTTAAAATGATCTAACATTCCAATCAGCTAACAAAATATTACTAAAGCTAATTTTATCTTGTTGATAAATAATATATAAGTATTTGTGTGTATGTTTGTCTATTTGAATAAAATCATATTATAAATTATATACGATGCTTGTATCTACCTGTATTATACGCTTAACATGACATAATACATAAATAATATGATTTTTGTAATATCTATGTATAAAAAGTAAAAACATATAATTATTATAATTATAGCTTATACTTCAGTCGATAAGTTATTATATATGGTGGTTAAGTTTATTATAAGTGTTAATTTAAAAAAAAACTTAAACCATTATTGATTTGAGAATATAATGAAAAAACATACAGTAAGAAGAGGAAATAGATTGAGAGATTTCATAAAATATACAATCATTATTATTTAGTGATTGTTTAATACACAGTTGGATTTTTTGGGACATGTGTCAAAATTCAATTATATGTTGTACTAGTAATTATACATGTATAATGTAAACTACATATTTTAATTTAAAGGTGCATTAATATTAGAAATATTTAGTCCTACACAACAGGTATTTAAATAGTAAATATACTTAAATAGTAGAAGTGCTCGACACTCAAGTATCTTACCCACTTATATTATATGATTTTATGCACCCTCACTATTGTTACTACCGTTGCCCGTTACTGATGAGTAGTTACTGCTTCAATTTGCGTAAATAATTAATTATGTTTAATCTTTATTTTCTAAAAATCTATATTCTTAAATCACTAAATGAATTATAAATCAATTAAAATATACAATTAAAATCAAGATTTCTTGTTAATACGTAAAATTTATCTTTATTAATTGAAAATTTCAACACGTTTACGTTAAGTGATTTAAATGAAATACCAATAACTGTGATAGCCATCATATTTTCTATAAATAGGTTACATATGTTTATACGGATATCTAAAAATTCGATTGGTTAAAAAATATTAAAAACAGTGCTAATAATATGTTGATTTAAATCATATTATATTTAACTAAGAATTAAAGTAAGATACATTTAAAACTTTCAAGTTACTTAAGTCTTATACTAGTATACTAAGTTATGTAAACATTTAAATTTTGCCTACTTATGTGAAATAAACAATATAATTTCATTAAACTTTGTAATACATATATAAATATATTATAATATTAGTTTTGTATTTTGACTTAAAATAATGGTTCATGTCGCCTTGTGTAGGTGTCGGGAGTAGTTGAATTTTATTTTGAGGTATTAAATTTTCGTAAAATATAAGATTTTTATAAACTAAAATTAAATATAAAATTGAGGTTTTTGATAAAATTATATATTTTTATCTTATATCATTACGTTTAAGTTAATATATTTAATTATCATAGGTATTATACATACAATATATGTTAATTTAAAGCCTTTAAATTGTAATGTTATTTGAGCTGAGAATAGAGTGCTTACCGAATGTCTATATACAATAAGCTAATATAACTTGGTGCTTTTAAAGTCGTTTATTATATTGGCACGAAAAATAACTTAAATTTATACTAAACATATATCTACAATAGTATTCATGCATTTAATCTGATTTTAATATAGGTATTATTTACTTAATTTAAGATTATGCGTATTTAAATATTTTTTGTCGGTGTTAATTAAAAGATAAATGAATAGTTATATTATACACAAGCACTATTATTTAGAAATATTGAATATTAACTATAATTAATTACTCTTTTCGTAATGTTATTGAATTATACACGTATTGTCAGAGATCACATCAATGCATATATTTATTTAAATTTCCCTTTGTGGTTACAATTATAATTAATTATTTATTATAATCATATATTATAATTGTGAGTAAGAGTTAATTGTAATAAATTTATATATTTATTAATTTATAAAAACATAATACATTTTAGCAAAAGTCAATAGTGAATTAGTAAGTTATTTTGTATGATTTTTATACTTACTTATAATTTTATATGCCATTATTCTAATAATTTTTTTTTCCAAATTAAAAAACTGTAGTTTTATAAATTACGTAATACTTAGCAATAATTCTTAAGTTATATTTGTATACATAATTTATCATTATCACTATTTATGTACCCATGTGGCTATAAAATAGTATATTTTGTTTCGATATTATGATTCTTATTTTAAAATAATTAATGTGAACTTGTTAATTACATCTATCGCATTAGTTGTGTTTATGATCTGTTTTTTTTGAATCTTTATGGTGGAAATTTTAAATTCTATTTTATTTCACGGACAAAATCATTCAACGCCGAATGCTTATTGTATGAAAATTGCTTATTTCGCTCTTGCTTAAATAAGTTCCAATTATTTATGTCTAATAATCTTTCCGTTAATATATTATAGATATACAATATACATACAATTTAATTATCTATTTATAAACAATTTGCGTATCAGTACTATAGAATACCTGTATGAATAATTAATTTTACGCGTGCCGACTACTTCACAAGAGAGAATTTATTATTAACTGATGCGATGTCAATTTATTCGTAAATAGTAATAAATATCGAGTATCGGAATAATGAGTATGTTATAAATATATATCAATAAGATAAATAATTAGCCGAACGAATAATAATTATTGCAACATTTCAATATTTTGCGTTGAAAACTGTAGAAATAGATAATAATTGCTATTATATAAAGTAGCACAATTCATTAGCAAATATTTTTTACCTAATGGATGATAACAGTTATTAATTAGAACGTAACGAATTATGAAAATGACCAAGTCAAAATAGTATTGAAAATAAAACGAATACCTACTACATATTGATCTATCTATTGTGTTTCGTTTTACCAACAGTTACAGATTCAGAGTAAAAATGATATGCAACTACTTCTTCTCCTCAATAAATATTAGAATTATAGGCTCCTAATTGGTTCTTATAGGTTCTTAACGAATAAGTGGTGCTCAACAATATTTTAAAGACAATGCGTAAACATCATATTAGGGGAAGTAATGGGCCATAAACCTACATGTCTTCTAGCTATCATAAAATATAAATCCTATAAACCTTTATACATAACTATTATAAACACAAGTAATGAAGTTGAGCGTTGGACTGTACTCGTTTTACCCAATCATCAACCTCCTGAAAAACCTCGTCTTGATTAGCCACTGAAGTATACATTTTATACGCGTACTTCATTTTACATAGGTTTAAGTAATCGAGGTATACACGTTCGTGTTAAATCACTGGGAGTACCGTTTAACGGCTGCGGTTATAATAATGATGAATGTAATGGGAATAGCTGCAGTATACGATATAATATTATGTAAAATTCTTGTATGATAAAATCGTAAGTTGTCGAGACTGCCTGCGTCGGGGGAGAGAAAATTTTACTACACAATATTATATGCTATTATGTGATGTATGATGTATATACTTTGGCGGGCATTATACGCTTGCAGTTGTGACGACAATCACTTGGGAAATCACCGTAAATTCACGTACAAACTCTGTCGTCGACTATATTTTTTCACTCCCCCCAACTAATAATAGTGTATGTGTTGTATGTAATAGTCGTCATTCGGGTTTATATTTTTGCGTACGTAACCACGTGGAGTTTATAATAATAATAATACAGTGCCGTTCCGCACTCGCAGATTTCAAAGAGATCTCGCTGAATGGCGGACTGATTTCTTTCGATCTCGCGCGCACCCGCCGCTTGCGTTCGGATGCTCCGGAGGGATTCGCTCTCGCTCGTTATTTTATTAAGAAATCTACAACGACGGAGTAGACACACACACACAGGCGACGACGTCACAATAATAGCACGTTATACAATAATATATATTTACACATACCACGAATACGGTTATATATACATGTATAGGTATGTTTATAAGTCCGCGCGCGTGCAGTTGCAGCAGGTTTCTCCCATGTTTTTTCGTATTGTACAACCCTCTCAAGTCGTACAAATTTTTTTTTCGTTTCTATTTTATACTTACTCCCTGCCCCCACCCCATACCACAAACATCGAAAAATTATGCGTATTTTATACATGCGTCGTATATAATATAATGTTATATACTCGCGCTGTCGTCGTCGTCGGGTTGCGGCGGCGTTCGCTCCGGGGCCCCACCCCCCCTCCCGAGCGACCCTCGTTCCCCCCACCACCGCACGGTCAACGGTGGTTTCCGAGAAGACCACTACCACCGCCGCCGCCTCTCTTCTTCAGTCAGTACTCGCACGCCTCCGTTGTCGTTTGTGTCGTGTACCGAGCTCGTCTCGCGAATTTCTTTTCGGCGCCGCATTTACGTGTTTTCCGCGCGCGTTTAATACCGCACGATACTTTGGCTTATCGACATAATTTTTTTTTCGTGTGTGCTATTTTATCATTTTTATACACGTATTGCTGTAAAATAGGTTTTTTTTGATTTTTATTCTTATAGTTATTAATTTTTTTTCTAAATCGTCTTCTCCGAATAAACACGGGTGCTAATCGTGTCGGTATAGTATAATATACCTACGGGGAGGTGAAAATTATTGTCTCGTTTTCGCCATAAGTGTCCGTGAAGGATAATGTTCGAACCGGTGTCGGCGGTCGGACCCCGCGGGAATTTCCAGCAGATCACTTAACGCGAAAGCGGCGACTGCGTATTATAGGGAAACACACAGCACCTCCTCACGACTTTGCAGGCTCTTCCGGTTCAGACCGTGATCCAGTTGTCGCAGACGGTACCGAACAGCAACACCACTACAACCGCCATCACCACCACCACCACCACCAACGCACTGCAAGTACATGGCGGCCGAACGACAGCAGACGTCGACGGTCCGACAGGCGTCAGCGGTCGGCCGGTGGGCCGTGACCGCGGCGCTTTGTCTGGCGGTCGCGGTATACGCGTGGCACGCGCATTCGGTCTTGGAGCGCCGCGTGGCCACGCTGGAAGCCGCTGTAGCGGCCATGCAGCTGCGGCTGTCGGGCGATTACCAGACGGCGGCCGCGATGGGACTCGCGGATCAGCCGCTCAGGAGCAAGCGGGACGCGACGTCCGGACAGTGCCTGTGCCCTCCCGGTAAGTGCGCGTTCACCCGTTTGGACATTACATTATTATACGTAGCAACGTCAATATTTTATCATCGTTACAATACGACGGCGATGGCGGCGAGTAGCGTGTTCGGTATGCGACCTTGACTGCTGCAGTCGTCCCGCAGTGGTTTACGATCGTCGGTAGGTCACTTTTATTAATGTAGGTACCACTTCGGTGGCCGTGTATAGCGTCTCCCGAAAACCACTGCCGCGTGCACAGTGCCGCCGTTCCAGTGGCCAGCGTACGCGTCACGATTGCGTTATCGTTGGCGCGACGATTCAAACATTTTCCCAGGTGTATTATTACGAGGCGAAATCATTTCACCGGCCCAACAATAATCGTACGACAAATTCAAGCGAAATGATTTAGACCGTCATCATTTCGACAGATAGGTTAACCTAACTTAATCTAATGATATATTAATCGTGAAGTTTATACTTATTCGTTCGCGCGCGATACACCTTCACACGTTAACCGCCGATTTACGAGATGAGAAACAAACGTCCGAGCCCGTAGTCTGACGCGAATAACCGCATTTAATGCCGAAAACGTACGAACAAACAACGTGTCTGATGAGAGACGCTATATGTCGGCGGACGGACACATCGAAACAATATTTACCAGCGACTTGTTTATAGATCCCGATCGATCTAGCGCCCGTCGAACACGCTTTCGGGCAGACCCGTGAAAGGTCGCGCCCCCTCATTGTGCGGGATCGACGGTCGTTCGTATCCGAACAATGGGGTCCAATCGTTTCGATCACCTATCGGTCGTCCGGCGGTGATGATTAACCGTATTATGAAAAATCGTATCGTGACGCCGGCCCGGTCGTCCGCGCTCGCGTCTTTCCGACGGGCACGGAAAATATGACTTGCAATTATTATTCTCGTAACGCGTTCTGTACACAACGATTAGTATTAAAGGTACGTGCACGTACGCAGTTGAGACAATGCGTGCTGGCTCGCGTCCGCTCGTTACGGCCGTGTGTCGTGAACGGTAATCTCCGCGAGTGATGATTGTTGACGTCTACTGCCGTTGAAAATTCGAATATTTATTAATACGGGCGGCAGCGACGGCGGTGCGCGCCAATGTTCTCGTTTGTACTTTTGGCGCGTACACGGTGATTTATAATATTATTGAATCGCTAGAACGCGCGGGTCGATTGATTAGGCGTTTCCCACTAGGTACGTGTCTGTATAATTGTTAATATTGTTAATATTGTTAATAACAACGAAAATAATAATAATAATAATAATAATAATAATAATATAACGTACGTCGTACGGGTATGCAATATAAATGGAGGCTGCCGAATCGTGTTTGCGACGTTAATAATAACAATAATAAATTATGACGTTTTATGCCTTCTGTAATAATTATATAATAGGTATCGGAATATCGGTATCTACGGTATCACTGTGTCATGATGTCATTATAGCGGTAGGCACTAGGTAGGCGACTGCGCCGTGTCACCCCTCTGCGGGGCCTACGCACCGCATTGTTTGATTTCGAATCATAAGGTTTTTTGTTCGTCAGGTTTTAATTTCTATCTGGCGGTCGACAGTAGTTGTTTTTTTTCACTTTACCAAACAAATGTTCGATAATAAAACACAAAATCACTAGTAAAAATAATTGAACACTGCTCCGGGGTCACTATATTAACGCGTGTTGGGCGTTGGGCGTTTTAATCTCATTTCGTTCCGTTTTAATTAATTTTCATTCGTATATCTATTATCACGCGGAAAAATCTCGTTTGTCGACCCGTCAAGCAAAACTTTCGTGTTATATATATACTCGAACATTACATTTTGATATAATTTACTTATCGTTTGAATAATGAGAACGTCTTAGTCGTAAATATTTTTAGAAGATATTAAATTTGTCATTATCTCGTGTAATGTCTAGTATCGTTGAGTTGGTAAAAGATTGTTTACAATATTTATAAATAATAACCGTAGAAAATTATTTTTGTCATGTCCTCGTTTAAAAATAACGTTTTTGTATACCTATTAGTATTTTTTTTTTTTTTTTAACGATACACGATTATTTAGAGATAAATTAATTGGATACTGCGATTACTATAATATATAGGAAGCTGGCGTAGTTAAAGAAATAATTTAGCCGTGCAACCAGTTTGTTAATTTTCTTAAACCTATTCGCGTATGTTTACATAGCAATAATAATAATAATAATAATAATAATAATAATCACAAGTTACGTGATGCGTTTAAATGTTTTCTTAAAAGCTTACCTATAAAATAAACTATATTATATTTTTTTACATAAGGGTTTTTACGCGGTGTTACCCTATTGGCAATAATAGCGTTTAAAATCGACGTTTCACATACGGTTTTTCGTATAATATATAATAATATTATGTGAAAAATATAAAAACGAAATGCAAATCAGGGAAAAAGGGCCCACCATGATTTTGGCAAACGCTCTGGGCGTGTATTTTGATTAATCGTCGTTGGAGTGTACCCCCTCCGATATACCGACCCGTTCACCACTCAACCACGAACCTGTATATGTTTTATGGCCCGTGAAAGATGTATCGGACGAAATCAAAACACGACCCCCGCGGGTCCAACGTCACCGTAGCCACCACCAACGACGAACCCTTTGGAGTTTTATCCCCCCGTCTACCACCACTGAATCGACGTATTATGCACCGCATAAAGCGTTTGTTATTGAATATTATAATAATAATATAATACAGTGGTTCAGAAGCTGAAAGAGAGACACACACACGCATAGGTGCTTGTAAAATAATATGAGACCATAAACAAACAGTTTCGGTCTGGTTCATGATTAGGTGAACGCCCCTTCAAACTTTATAAAAAATGAACAGTCTTTTAATATATTGCAATAAAATAATTTTATTTTTAATTAAAAAATAATTTATTACTCTAAAATAATTTGATTATAATTATTAAAAATGTATATATATAATATAAACAATAATATTTTACATACTTTTTTTAAAAACAAAGTACCTACACAAAAAATAGAAAAAAATTACTTTATCGTAAAAGAAAATTGTTAACTACAAGAAAATTACATTAATTAAAATAAGTTATTATTAAAATAGAAGTTTTGTTAGTCGATTGCTGGAAAATCTCTTATCATTTTATTAATTTCATCTTTGTTTATAAATCGAATGTCTTCATATCTACTAACAGCCAAGTTCAAAGATCCAGATATTGTTGGTTTATCAAAAATCTAAGTTTGGTTTCAAGTTCTAAAAATAGTCGTTGACATATAACTCGTATGTACGCAAGTATAAAAACACATTTAAATGATATATTACATGCGCAGTGTGCTTAATAAATCAAACGTTAGTTATCTGTTTAAAAAAAAAAAAAAAATTAATAAATCCTAGTCGCGAGTCATAAGTAATTTAAATAGAAATTTTCTCATTTAGGCTGTGGACTTTCAATACTGAAAAACATCCTAGGGGCCCTCGGCAACCGTCAGGTAGTCGGGTGGGCCGGAACGAAACTGCACACAAACGTACGTTCGACAAACTCTTGCGCGCGCGCCCGCCACCCGTATACTCGTACGATATATTTATCATTATTTATAATCATTGTTGTATTTATTATTGTTGTGTTATGATGGAAATCAATAAAAACCGGTCGGACGAAAAAAAAAAAAAAAAATTAAACAAAATCCACTCGTAAAAATGCTCACCTCGACAATGCGCGTCCCCCGACAACAACGACGAGAGAGTGCCATGTCGTTAACGGCTGTTTGTGTACACTATGTGTGTACGCGTTAATGTCGGCGCGCGCGACGAGTTTGTCGTCAAACACACGCTGACACGTACCGTACAAAACACACGGCGGAGAGACCATATATATTTTTTTAATATACTCGGCAGTGTACACAATATCACTGAACCTAACCGATCCCGCGTATGGGTTTTTTTGTGGCTCGATTGGGGAGAATATATCTTTTTTGTGTTATTATCAATTTTTTTCTCCCGTCCTCTCGCTAAAACCCACGAACAACCCTCGCCGTCCATACACGCATCTATTATAAATACGCAATACCTTATAATAATAATAATAATAATAATGATAATAATAATAATACGATCGTCCTCCACGTATCCATACCATTCACGTCCCGTTTCCTTCCGCGTCCGGGTGCCAATAATTATTATACATGTACGTTTTGTACACTGTTTCCACGGACGGACGGTCGGAATAATCAGAATAATAGCAAATTCATTTTTTTTCAACCATCTAATAAAATATTGTACTACAAAAATAAAATTTTTTTAAAAAAATATACTATTTATTATATGGAAATAGACTCAGAGTTCAGCAGATGGAGCGTAAATCGTATCGATCGGTTAAAAATTATATACGCGCTGTCTAAAGTTCGTCAGCTACAGTGAATACTCGTATAATATTTGCTTTCAATAATCATTTTTCATAACAATAAATTGATTAATACTTGTTCACTACAATGGCCATATGTTCGATTTCGTTTATTTGATTTTTTTTCTACTAGCTTCAATTTTAATAACCGACAAACTATATTTATTACTTTTTTCGTTTAGCTTTAATCATTGCGCGCAATGTCCGTAAAATATTTTTTATATATTACGCATTATAATTCATAATATGTTGTATATAAAAACAATATTAATGTTCAATTCGACTTTCCTGCTACTTGTTATCTTGTTGCGCTTCGAGTGCTAATTATGTTATGATATATATGCATGTCACTATGCCAGATGTTTGCGCGTGTGACTAGGAAACTTAACGCCTATGTGTAGTTGCGAAATTTCATTTTATATTAAAACGTAACGTTTCGACACGACGAGCTCGATCTTTTGTATATTATATTATATTATATAGAAGGCATATGTGATGTTTATTATTATATTACATTGTATTATAATTGTATTGATGGTGCCACACGCAACGTCCGATATTATTATATTTATTTTAACGATACGATTATTATAAACA